CTGATCCTTGAGGAAAACCTACACTGATTACGTGATTGTCCAAATTACCTTGCGTATAAGTAATTGAAATGAAGGGAATAAGCCTAGAAATGCAGCCATCTGGTTTTTTCGGCCAACATTTTTGTTTCAGATTTAACAAAACCTAAACCCTACCGGATTCCATAACTGATGGTTCAAAACGTTTCTATTTTCAAGGACGAATCTTTTAATTCACTCGTGCATCTTATATACTACTGGAACAATGATTTATACCCGCGTTCCTATTTGATGAATGCTCAGTTGTAAGCCTCCATTCATTATTTCAGAAAGGGGCTCCATTTCTCGTTGTTGTTGTGCTTTCACATCTGCGGGACAAACGGAATATTAGATCGATGAAAACACCATTAATCTTGATATTGAAAATACGGTGGTGCTCGCTTATCAAGGAAATTGTTTCTCTAGAATCTTAAATTGTGTATCAGAATTGTAGTGGCGTATTATAATTTTGACGCACACATCTCTGTTGTATTTTTTTCCTAAAATGGGATCCGTTCGTCTAAAAACATGTTGAAACTCTTGGTGTTCAGCATTTTGCTCGATAAATAACTAGTCAGTTCTATTGAAACACACACTGGTCGACATTGTACGGAAAAGAGTGCAGTATTGTCATTCATGTTCAATTCTGAATTATTTCTCTGACAATGATAGTCTCTTGTCGGTTCCGTTGATAAAAAGCCTTCGTATCTTTCGAACTTTCCGACGTGTAACAGTTTCAACAATTGTAACAATTTCGATGATTGATTGACTGACCGACCGTGCGGAGGCGTTAACTACATCGCAAATTACCCCTTTCGTTAGCCGCCCCTTCGCGGCGACAGCCGACAACGAAAGCGACATAATCATTTTCTCGTTCAGCATCCTCAACAAAATGCATAATTAATAATTTTCGATCTTCTCTCCTACCCTTCTACATCAATTCTCGAAGTTGGGAATTAAACGGAAACGTCTCGGGCGGAAAACGAAGCTCTTTTTGTTCTCGAGAAAGTCGAGAGAGCTAACTTCCTTCGCGAAATTGAAATACTCTCAACTTTCCTTAATTTTCTGGATAAAAATAGGTTGTTTTCAATGATCTCCTTGATGAACGAACGGCTAATCGTTCAATAGGGAATTGCCTTCAACTGCACATCATTTGATTTATATTCAATTGAAAACAAGGACTATTTTTAGGATAGTTCATTTCCACGACACATTTTTAGAAAATAATGAATCTTATCGTGTCAATTTTTGAGGCTCAGGATGCTATAACGACATCATGAATTAATTCATCGATCAATATAACGACTCGTATTTTGAAATAAATGTGTCTTTATTATATTTTGTGTCGAAGCTATTTTGTGGGTTGCAGGGTTGTTGTCTGAAGTTTCGCCTACTACGGCGGTTGATATTATCAAAGGCGATAAAGTAACGAAAGGTGAAATTCATAATTTAACTTTGCTAATCATATCACTCTTCTTTTAATGTAGGTGCCCCAACATAAATTTAGTGCACACCTTCTGCTACAACAAAATATTTTCTATTCCAATGAAGAGCTAGAGGAAATTTCAATCGCGCTACAGAAGGAGCGAAAGCAACGTCTCAGAAAGTTGCAACACTCTTTCGAAGTGAAGAGTCGTTAACATTTGAGCAACTGTCAATGCTCTGAAAAGCTCGAATTTCACCTTTTTGGAATATAGATGGCATACGACCATGACCTGAATTTACTTGATTTTACTCAAAAAAGAGCCATCTGCCTGAAATTGCGCGGCAATCTACATCAGTGCCCATTTTTTCCAGATGAACCTGGAAATGATGGGCAGATGGGCAAGAACTCTTTATTGTTTAAAACATCTCCTTTGTGGAATATATTTCCAGAGAGAGTTCGAACTAATATAATCTAAGTTTTAAATCCATTGTAGTAGTTCGCTACTTTTCCACAGGCACCACTCAGTTTGTACATTTTTCTGCGGATATTACTTCAACTACAAGAAATATTCAGCCACTTTCGTGTCAAAAGTTGTGAGACGAATGTGGCGCAAACCTTATCTTTATTTTTGACTCCTAAAGCTATCCGTTCTATTTCCAACCCGTTTTCTTATCTCTATTTCCAGCTCTTGCCGCTTTTCATTCCTATTTTTGGGCTAGAGATACGACAGTTGTTGAGGTTCCGGTAAAAAGCGTGACAGATCGAAAACGGCGCGCTAAGAGATTCTAATCGGAGCTATCAATCTTCCTCAAGGAAGCGACTACACAACGGCTGAAATACCGCTTCATTCGAAGGGGATTCGGCCGCCCCATCTCCCTTTTGTCAACTTAATAAATCGGCGGACGATTTATAAGTCCGATTCGTTTGAATAATGTTCTCATCGACTAAATCAAATTGATTTTTGTTGGGGTTCGGGGGGGAATATGCGTTGGGGTTGTGGGGGTAGATAAAGAATCTACTTCCAACTATATATGATATTAATGGGGATACATATTGATGGTAAACGTCAATTAATGAAATAAAACTAAAATTTGTGCAAAAAAATATATACAGTGTGTAACAACGAGAACTTAACAGATTTTTGAAAAAAGCTCGAACACGTCGATTTTTAATTAAAAGGGGACACCTTTCAGACTAATCAGTTTTTTTGTAGTACGCACCCTCTCGGAGGGGTGCGTCCGACGACCCTTATTTAGATAGGGAAAGTAGGTCGAGTGGCACCTTGTTTTAAAGGTCTTTCGAATACCTTTACAACTCTGTTGAAAGAAAATTTTTGTAACGATTAGTTTTCGAGATAATTTGAAATTGACATGTTGATAATACATTTGCCTAAATGTAAAAAATTCTAGCAGTTCTTATCAGTTTTTTGTTAAATAAAATCCCTTTTTTAAAATCGATACCCACTCTTCTTTCAGTTTTCATTAGTACATCGTTTGATTGTTTTGTTTGAACGGGTCGTGTATTGTTATTTGTTTAAAAATGCCTTACACTACTGCTGAAAGGGTTTCAGTTATTGCTTTATTTGTTGGCAACGACCAAAATGCTAATAGAACATCAATTTTATTCAACGAGCAAAACCCTGGTAAACACCTAAGCAGAAATCACATTCTGGATTTGGTCACAAAATTCAGGGAGACAGGTTCGGTTTTAAATAAGAAAAGAAATGTTCAGAGAAGGGTAGTGAATGACGATAATGCAATTGGAGTGATTGGCCAAGTCATCGCCAATCCCAGGTTGAGTGCCAGAGGTTTATCAGCAATTGCCGGAATAAGCTATATGAGCTCATGGAGAATCCTTAAAAACCACAAATTCCATCCTTACAAAATTAAACTTGTTCATGAACTCAATGAGGATGATTTTGACCAAAGACAGGAGTTTTGTGAGGACATGAGTGAGAGATTAATGCAAAATCCCGAGCTGCTTTATAACATCTGTTTTTCGGACGAAAGCTCATTTTATTTAGATGGTTGCGTGAACCGTCACAATTGCCGTTATTGGTCGGATGGAAACCCAAGACAATACGCAGAAATACATACCCAACATCCCCAAAAGTTGAATGTCTGAGCTGGAATATTAGGCAATCATATTATAGGTCCATTTTTCATTGATGGAAATTTAACCGGTGATTCTAATTTACAACTTCTAGAAGAGACAATACAACCTCGTATAGCTGAAATAATTGAACAGATATCAAGATGAATTTATTCATTTTTAACAAGACGGTGCACCACCCCATTATGCCCAGCAGGTTCGAAATTTTTTGAATAATAATTTTGAAGGACAATGGATTGGCAGAAGAGGTCCAATTGAATGGCCAGCACGACCACCAGATTTAACACCACTGGACTACTTTTTGTGGAGATATTTGAAGTCTAAAGTTTATGCTATACAGCCAGCCAATTTGGATAAATTACGTCGTAGAATTATTGATGAATGCCGAGCTATAACTCTGAGACGTTGAATAATGTAAGAGCAAAATTCGAACAAAATCTTTATTGATGCATGGAGCAAAATGGCGCACATTTTGAACATTTACTCTAAATTTCCTATGTGAGTTACCCTTATTAGGTGTTACTTTTTTGTGTGTGCTTTAAAAACAATTATTGGGATTTATTTACCCTAAAACAGTTTTTCAAACTTTTCTTCTGTCATCAGCATTCAAGGAAATCAGCAGGTTGTATTTGTTTTTAGTATGATTCACTTTTTTATCAGAAGCATAAAATATCTACGTCAAAAGGCAACCTTCAAAAGGAGGTGCCACTCAATTTACCTAAAATGTAAGGGTGGTAACCAACCCCATCCCCCGAAAAAATCTCCTCGTAATAAACAAATAATTCTTACTTTCTACGAAATCAAATGGAAACGTATTAGCAGGTTGTCATAAAAAGCAAAAATTATTTTATTTTTAATGAAAGTTCGGAACGTAAATTGTACCTTAAAAACAATTTGATTTATTTTAAAAAGAGTTGAACTCAATAAAAATACCTTTAAATCTTCAAATTATCTCGAAAACTAATCGTTACAAAAATGTTCTTTTAACAGAGTTGTAAAGGTATTCGAAAGACCTTTAAAACGAGCTGCCGCTCGACCTACTTTCCCTGTCTAAATAATCTGATTAGTCTGAAAGGTGTCCCCATTTAATTAGAAATCGACTTGTCCGAGCTTTTTTTAAAAATTTTACTTTTTATATTCAAAAACGGCTCTGTTGAGTTTTCGTTGTTACAGACTGTATAACAAACACATAAATAACCTTTCGTAGAACATATATTCTGACTTATTTTATGATTTTACTGTGTCCTTTTGTGTCCAGTTGAATGACGAAAGGTGCAAAAGATACAAAACAATTAGTCGCGTCAACGAATAAGTAAAACAGGCAATTTTTTTAAATCCTCCAGAACAATTTCGAAGTTGAATTCACTGACTCATCACAAATATGTGTTGTCTTCAAGGATCTTTTGATGCTTCTGAAGTTTTTCACTCATCGCCTTTTTTGTTTCAGAGCACGCAGTATCGGCTTCCCTTACGATGGGCCGCCGCCCTGGAGGCGGTGGCTTCGCCGGAGGCGACACGAGCAGCATCTTATCACCTCGCGGATCCGACAATGGCGGCCTCGGCGTCAAAATGGTCGAATACGTTCTGGGTACGTCGCCCACCAGCAAGGAAATGGTCGGCGGGGGTCTGGAACCCAGGATGCGTGCTCTTCACCTCCAAGACGATAAAGACAAAGACAAACCCCAGAGTCCGAAGGATGATTGCAATGGTCAGCAGGTGGTCGTGCAGAACGGGCAGGTCGTTCAGGACGAGGATAAAGGATTCAAGTAAGTAGGATCTCGATGTGTCGTCACAATATTCTGTCACTCTTTTCCAAGGTTATCTATAAGTTGATGAAAAGTATGGGCATTCCACCAAATTATATTTTCAAAGTTACCCGATATAAGAAAGGCATTTTTGAAAATCAAATTGGATTCTGTTAACTTTTCCTTTCCTTTTTCATTACCTCATTTCATAGAAGTTATTCGTAAATCGGAGAAAACGAGTAGGGGCGTTTATCAAGCCTAATGGCATTCTATCAAATTATATTCTGACGGTTATGTCTTTAAGTCGAAAGAAGCTTCATTGTTATCTGCAATATACTTGAAAGTTTTACAAGAAGGTTGTTCAAAGTTATAAGCCAAATGGTATTCTGCCAACTTCATTCCTAAGGTTTATCCAAAAGTTGTTCATTTACAAGCTGAACTACATGTTCGTTTTCTAAGCCGAATGATATTCTTGAACTGAATGTCCTTTCTCCAAATCATTTTTATAAGTTTATAAGTCGGACATTTTCATTTACTTTTTTTGAAAATTTCACCTTTCAAAGTCTGAAAAATAAATAAATAACTGTAACTTCACACATTAGTGTTATTGTAATGTTTTTAGAATCATTTTTGAGAGTTCTGTTGATCAAGAATGTAGGATTATTGTGTTTCAGATACTTACTACATTAATTTTATTTAATTCCCTTGGACATTTGAATATTTTGACTTGTTTTTGAGTTTTGGTCTTATGATATTTTCACATATTTACTGTTGTGACTGTGTATTGCGTATATTCATTCATTTTCACTAAGAATTCGCTAATGTAAATTGACTAACAATGCCGCATATTTTCTTGATTCATCAAGACGCTAGCCTTTGACTTGGTCACGTTTAATATATTGAAAAGTTATGTTAGAATATTGGATGGTTCAGTTATGATATCATGTTTCTAGGATTCATTGAAAATCGATTCCGGCGTATATATAGAACTAATTGGGAGTAGACACGCGCTGGAGTAAATTGTTGATATACTTTCGTGGTCGTTCGGCACGAGATGTTGTGTCATATCTTTCCATCTTTCTTTTATGTGATGTTTAAATACTGTTTACGTTATATAGAGGATTTCTATATGAATTTGCTAGACGTTTAGAAAAACTTTCAATCGATCTTCGATTTTATATAGTATGGAAGATGATAATATGGGTTATGAATTTCACTAGTTCGGACTCCCATTGTCTACTATATAAAATGATTTGAAATCCCTGAAACAACTAAAAAGGAATAATTAAAAATGAGTAGCTGAAAATAACCGAAAAATAGACTTGGTGTTTTTTCAAAATCTGGTACAACCTCCTTTCGATTGATGCAGTAGGGTCCCGTACGATCTTTGTGTATCGTCCCTTCTGAAGAACCTCTTCGGATCTTCTGTTCGTAGTGAACGATATCCATTACCACAGTAGCGTTTCCTTTATCTGCGTGTAGGATCTTGATGGTGTTGTCTCTACGTAGGCCGTTCAGAGCTCTACGTTCTTAATTGCTGATCTTAGATGTTGGAACTGGTTCTCTAATTTTCCATCTGAACTCTTCTGCCTCAGTCTGGTCAATAAGGGAACTGGTGGATTCCACTGTAGTATTATCTCCAAAGTGGGCACAGATGTTGGCGTAATGGCGAAATTTAGACCTTTCCTCAACAAGGATTCCTCTATTCCCGTGAGCGGGCGGGAACTCATGTTGATGACGTTGGCGGCTTCATAGCTGTCCTGTTTTCGGTCTGTATTTGGACATTGTTTCCTCACTAACTTCCCCCACTTTCTGTTGTGGGTATTCTCCATGTCTTGGCGGATCTTCAAGCACGTGCTTTCAATCTTGGCAAAGATTGGTCCATGATCATCTTCCAATGTCTCTCTTCTTATTTCTTCGAATCGTTCTGTGGCATCCTGCAATAATATAATTGTTATTTTCAGCTATTCATTTTCAATTATTCCTTTTTAGTTGTTTCAGGGATTTCAAATCATTTTATATAGTAGACAATGGAAGTCCGAACTAGTGAAATTCATCATGAAACATTGTCAGTCACCTTCAAACAAATATGGGTTATGATCACATATTTTCGAGTATACGTTGTATATTTTTTTTCAACGATATTACTCAATCAATTACTGATAATCATGTAGAAATAATATTCATTCTTGTATTGTTTCACTAGTTGAGTGAGCTAGTTTATTGGACTCCACGATTTTTCTGGTCCGGTGACGATCTGATTCGGGCTGCGGCAAGGCAGACACACACTATGGTCACAACTGTTTCCACGCAAACCTTCCAACCTATCCCTATTATCCAGATAGACAATAAGGACCTAAGTAGGTCTGTTGGACAACGCGGGTCATCCCTTGTAATACGTATAAATACACCGGAAACTGTAGATTTTGGCAGATATCTGAAAATCTTCTCGCGGTCCAGATATCCAGCGTTTATTTGTCAACAGCTTCTTCACCTGGGCCAGGATAACCAGAAATACAAACTAGATACAGTGTGTTAAGTGTTCCTACTGAGAAAAAACAAAGCAATGGCGTAAATTTTCACCTGAAATATGGTCGTATAGGACCCTAGGCAGGTTGATATCTCTGAACTGCGGCTGTATACAAATGCACCAGGACTTAGAGAAGTTTTTCATTCATCGGTGAACCAACCGTGAATGAAAGACAGGTCCTGGTTGGAGATGTAATTCCCAGAATACTGTGAATTTCAGTGTCAACCAATATTCTCATACTTGGAGCAATTGGCAATTCTGAAGTTTGTTCTGCCAGCCTCTCTCCATGAAGATGAAGAGAGAGGAGGTAGGTTTAAGAACATTTCCGAAGCCGCTGACGATGTGGTGCTGATGACACCGGAAATAGCCAGACAATTCTGTATGATAATAGTGAATTCAATTATCTACATCTACAGAAGTGATAACAATACGTATTGATTTAAACATTCACCATGGAGAAATTTATTACAAACATTTTCATGTGGCCCATTCTTCCGTTTGTTATTTTATCAATAAATTATTATTCAACGGCATCGTATTAACTTGCATACAGAGATTTGTGAAAGAATACTCGTCAAAACGTCATTCACTCTGGTTTAACTATTATTCGAAATTGTAAACACGAATAACTCGGAAAGAAACATTATTTACGATACTTTATTCAATTATTATTTGCGCAAACGTTAAGTGTCACTCGCAAAAGGCCGTAAATATAATTCTGTGCCGCGCCTTGTCAAAAGCCATAAAACACATTTTCAAAATTGCAATCTCGGCGATGTCACATTAATGTATACGGTAACATATAAAAATTAAATGTGCACAGTTCAACACTACAACAATGGTTGATATGCTCAGGAAGTAATTATAATTTCAACCTAAATTGCCGCTGCCTACAAGAATTCGAAATAGCGACCTTGCGTTTTATTAGCAAAGACACGACAGTACGCCTTTCGTTTCAAGAACGTTTTTGCTGTTATTTCGACATTGTCGATCGATCGGTTTCATTATTTTTGAATATTTTTTGTTAGTTGAATGTCCGATCTTTTCTGAACAATAAGTATCAATGATTTTTATACGTGTTGTTTTTTTTTCAGCTGGTATAAACAGAATGTTTATGTACCAAAGGTATTAAATTTATGTCATGAGATTCATCATTTTACCAACCCGACAACATCTCAGTTTAATTTGATATAATTTCAGTTATCCTTGTTTGCCAAATAGAAAATATGAAATCCCAAAAATTCCACCATATTTTGTTGTTTACTTGATGAAGGTTATCAATAAGTTAATCAGAAACTGCTTTTTTGTATTTACGCCCGCGTGGGCATCAAATTGTATTTTATAGCAGCATGGGCATAAAGTACACGTTATGGTGTTGCAATAAAAATATAATAATGAACTTTTACGTTACGTTAACCGAGCCGAGCAACATATATCTTATACGCAGTGCAACTACAGTTCACGATCGAGTTTTAGTTTCCAAATCTAGAACACAATCCTCAAATACGGCATTGGTTGCCAACTTGAATCGGGCTTGCTATTTAACAGTAGGCCTAGATACTTTTAGGAATTGCCACACCAAATCAGTCTTCATAGGCTAAGACCACACAGATATCCTCCTTTCTCATCAACGGGGGAGAGTTCATTTCATACTCTTTTTTTTTGTGTGGATGTATGCCGTCCAGAGTACGTTCATTACAATCATATATATGTTTTTGAGTGAGGTATCCAGCAGGTCACAGGAAGGGTGAAGGTCGTATCACCGAAGACTGGCAAATTGCTTCAGATGGTAAAGCCATAATCAAATAAAACTAGAAATAATCATGCTCTTAGATTAGAGAGGTTAGGAATGCCTACACTGGAATGAAAATTATTCGATTCCGATTTGAAACCTGTTCTGGAAGTCTACACGTATGGAGGTGGTACAGCTATGGTATGAGGTGGCAAAATAGTGGGTGGTAGCACCAACTACGTTTTTGCATGTCTCTTCCCGTCTATTAAGAACACGCTTTAAGAGAGCATAATTCTACGAATGGGCAACATTTACTTTGCATTTCTTTTCCTGAGACTTCTAATCCACCAACGAACAAATTTAATGAAACCAATGTTGAGGTCAAGACGAGAATTCATTCTTGTCACGCTAAAATCGAAAAAACTACAAATCCATCATTAGTTGTCTCCAGAATAATTAACTTATTTGTGAAAGTATTCCAATACTGTTTAACGAATGAACAGATTTCAACAAAAATTTAACTTCAAAATGGTGTGCATTATGACCAAATTTCTTTGTTGGAGAAAAGAAATACTAAGGAGTGTCTCAATATGCATGTTCTAGATTGTAATGATTTTTCATTGAACGTATATCACGTCTTTCAGCCTGACCTAAAAACCACTGCAATCTCGAAGCTCATATTGTTCTCCCCGATGTTCATTTTGCCATCTCCAAGCTAACATGTTTTTTCTCTATGGGACTGAAATTTCTCACACCATC